TTGTGAGCCTAATTCATTCAGCTCTGTGTGCTTGCAAAGATGTTGAATGTGTAAACAAAACAACACATTGGGTTGCAACCCAACATGTTGAATGCCTTCCATTTTCAGTGCTTTGATATCAGAGACTAAACAGAAGCATTGAAGGTACTTGTGAAGTTCTAGTGACTTCCATATTTCATCCTATTTCATGTTTCAGCAGCATGTTATTCCTCTCTTTTCTTTCAAAAACAAAAACTTGAGTGCAAAGCTTATTTTTAGCAGATAATGAATTAGCACTCAGCATTTGGTTGTTTTGATTAAACTTTCACTCTTCACTGAAATCACTGGACTCATAAGCCCATGCTAAGCTAAGAAAGTTTTGTCTCCTACTTAGGAATGAAAATGAAGGGGTGCAGAAAGACCTGAGTTTGAGTACTTCCTTTGCTACATATTGGCTGTATGAGCATGAGCAAGTCACACCCTCTAGAGCTTGGGAAACTCTCTAAAGACTATACATTGCAGAGAAGGTATCTTTATCAGCATTGGGAATTTCCTTATTGAAGTTTCATAAACCAATGAAATTATAAGTTTGATTGAAATGAGAAATAGTTGGGCATGGTGGTATAATATCTGTAATATCTGCTCTTGGGGAGGCTGAGGTTGGTAGGTTGCTTAAATTGGGGAGTTCTGAGCTATATCAGGACTAAAGCTGATTGGGTACCTGCAATAAGTTCAGGGCCAATGTGGTGAGCCCTGGACAGCAGTAGGCCACCTAAAGAAGAGTGAACCTACCAGGTAGGAAACAGAGCAGGTCAGAGCTTCTGTGTGGATCAACAATGTAGTGGGAGGTAATCACTACATTTCCAGTCTGGGCAACAAAAGGAGATCCAACAAAAAAAAAAACTGAGTCAGGATTTACTTCATCTGCTCTCCTGACCTCCCTTTAGTCCTTATGCTGTGACATAGCAGAAAGCAGACTGTATTTTTGTGCTGAATACAGTTGTACTTTAGTTCCCCTTAGTGGATATCGGATGAATCTTTTGCCAATGAGCATACAAGCTCCAGTATGAAGAATTCTGTTTTTGGAAGGTCTCCCCATGGCCCAAGTTACTCTTGACTTAACGTGCCTCTGTGTCTATGTCCCTGTGTGGCCAGCTAGAGGAAGTGATGGTCCGGAGACCTGATTCATGGGGCTTTTGAATGAATAAATCTAACTGCAGTAGAGTCCTTCTGACAATACACATCTTTGACCTTAAACATGTCACAACTTTTCTGAGCCCATTCACCAGTGAAATGAGGATAATAATCCTTTTATTACCTACTCCACTGTTATTGTGAGTATCAATACATATCCCATACAATGCATGTGGAGACACACTGAAACTTCAAAGCACTAAAATATGTGTGTTCCTAGTGCCTTGTTTCATTATTATTATCGTCATTATTTTTATGATTAGGAATTATTTATCATTTTATGATTAAGCAAGTGGTCATCATGTCAAAAGCTAAGAAGATTCATGGAAACAGCTTTTCAGAAAGAATATTGTTTAAAGCAAACTTGCTCCTAGCAGAAAAGGAGAAGTTTCATAACCATGCAAATAATGCAAGTCTGCTAATCTAGTCTTTTAAATATAAAGAGAATTGGGGCCAAGGGATTCCTTAGAAAAAAAAGTAAGGAAAATATGCAGAAATTCAGGTCAGGCACAATTACTTTTCAAAGCAAAGGGGAGCTAGCTATTGGTAACTGTTTCTACTTATTAGGTTAAATCACCATGTATTTTATAGTAGTTTTAAATCTGTAAGCCTGTTTAAAACCTATAAGCCTATTAAAAATGTAACCATTTGAATAATCTTCAACAGTATCTAGCCATTTGAATTCAAGAACTGCATCCTCCAATCAAAGGGATGTTTTTGTCTTTATTTAATTAAAATATAATTAATTATTGTTGACCCCATGGCTCAGTTTCATTGATCCATTCTTGGTGTATCTAAAGATAGAGTGCTCTCATGGTCATGAGGCAGGACCTAAAATAGCACCCAATAAAATCTGAGACATATGTTTTAGCCTTTCCAAAAATGGGGCACTGAACATGAACCACTCAAGTAGGTCTTGGCTTCTGTCCCCCCTGCCCCATCCTCAGTTACGCACGATGACTTTTTAGTCTTCTAAGTTAATGCTCTCCACATTTCTTTGATCACATACTCTTATCGATGAAAATTTTTTGAATGTGAATACCTAATATGTGTATATTTAATTATTTATAAATCACATAATATATAACTGTACTAATAACCATATACTTTATAAAACTTACATAAAACTAGAAATTTTAAAAGAATAAGCCAAAGACGAAATGATATTTGATCCTAGAGGCAATAGGGAGTCACTAGAGTTTATTGGGTAGGGGAGTGACATCAGACTTGCATTTTAGGAACATCAATTTGATGCTTGTGTGGAGGATAGATTGAAATTGAGGGAAAATTGAAACAGGGTGAACAAGCAGGAAACTATTGCTCTAGTCCAAGTGAGAGGCAATGAGGGCCTGAACTGAGGGTCTATTTGAGTGTAGAGAAAGGGACAGATGTGAAAGATGTTGTAAAGGTAGAATCAACAATATTTGGCAACTGATTGGATGGGGCGGAGAAGTGAGGTGCTCAGGATGATCCTCAGGATGACGGAGAGGATTTTCATCTAGGTTGCTAGAACAGTGATGCCTTCAACAGGAATAGGGAAATTTGGAAGAGTTGTGGGTCTTGCAGGGAGGGGAAAGATAATATAATAGGATTTGTGAACCACCTATCTGTTACACTGAAAAACTAAAAATGAAAAGCCCCCCTAGGGGCATCTGCTGCTGACCATGAGGGCAGAGTATGTGTGTGTGTGTGTACACTGGAGTTGGAGAACTTTGCCCGCACAGCTACTGGTGGCATCAAGTTAAATGTCCCTAAGGGACTCCTGCCTCAGAGCGGAAAGGTGGGGACTTGCACAGCTATGAGAGACCGGTGAGGGGGAGGGGGATAGAGATAGTGATGGACACAATGGATGGAGTTGGGTTAGAGTGGTGTGGGAGGCAAGCTCCATGGCTGGCTGTTATTGGGATGGTTGAATTTAGCCTGATTGCTTATCTCTTGGGGTCATTTTATGGCCCACTGGGGGTTCAGGGCGATAACTTTAGAGACCACTATTCTAAGGTGTGCTCTCACATTGATTTTTCCGTTTTGAACTTCTATATAGGGCAGGAGTTTTTTCTTTCTTTATTTTTTTTGCTAGGCAATGACTTGCCCAGGGTCACACAGCTAGTAAGTGTCAAGTGTCTGAGGCCAGATTTGAACTCAGGTCCTCCTGACTCTAGGCCTGGTGCTCTATTCACTGCACCACCTAGCTGCCCCTAGAGGAAGGGTTCTTAATCTCTTTTTGTGTATAATGGACCACTTTGGCAGTCTGATAAAAACTGTGGATCCCTTCTTAGAATAATGTTTTTAAATGCGTAAAATAAAATACACAGAATTACAAAGGAAACCAATTATAATGATATATTATTCTCAAAATATTTTTTAAAAAAAGTTTACAGACTGCAAATTAAGAACCCCTGGTATAGGGCAGCTAGGTGGTGCAGTGGATAGAGCACTGGCCTTGAAGTCAGGAGGATCTGAGTTCAAATCCGGCCTCAGACCAAACACTTGACACTAGGTGTGTGACCCTGAGTAAGTCACTTAACCCCAATTGCCTAAAAATTTAAAAAAAAATTAAAAGAACCCCTGGTATAGTATGGCTTGTCTTTGGAGAAGCTGAGCAAAATGCACTTGTCCATAATTATATAAATGGTTGGAACAAGGATTTCAAAGCAGCCCAAGAAAGTAGAAAACAGGCAGAGGGAAAAGCATATTATTGTGATGAGGTTCATGAAACCACAATGAATCAATGAAAACTTGCTCATATTGATAGGATTGGGGGCTTGCAAGGTATTAGCTAAATTCATCAGTAATAAGACAGCACAACTCGTCATTCTCTGTGCTCCCCCCCTTCTTCTTATATTTAGATGACTAGATTAGTAGCTTTGTGTTATTTGCTTGGTCGCTAAACTTTTCCTTTCCTGCTAGGAGCAAATTTGCTTTAAGCAATATTATTCTTCCTGAAAACCTGTTTCCATGAATCTTCTTGGCCTTTGATATGATGACCACTTAACTTAGTCATGACCCATTTTGATTTTTTTTAAGTTCAAGTTTATTTATTAAGTATATGTATCCTCTTAGTCTAAAAGGACCCTCCAAGATCAAAGGAAATTGAAATCCTAGAGAAAATAAATGTATTCTTGGAAGGTCACTATACTTCTAAATTAGTTTCCCTTATAAATCAAAAGCACCTTTTCTGGTTCTCCTCAAAACGATGTTCTGGAAGACTTTTTGAACATGACATAAATCAATAGAAGCAGAAACAGTTTTAAAGAAACAATAAATCCTACTGGACAAGCCCTGAACATTATGCAGATTCTAGTGCTCTCTGGTGGGTCAACAATGAAAAATCATCTTATGAGATAAAACACAGAGTAATGCCTTACTATTCTTGCTTTTATCTAATCAACCCAGTGCCCTTCCGAGTGCACAATCTTCCAAGTGCACAAAACCCAGATGTCTACAGTGTTCCCATTTCGAATTGATACATTAATAAGGAATGAGTCCAACCATAATCCTTCTGCCTTGGAGATGGCTCAAAAAAATTATAGATTTGGAGCTCTAGGGACTTTGGAGTTCACCCCTGTGACTCCAAATGCATAGATTTTCTCACTGTAGTACGAGGTTTTGTTGTGCTCAGTTCACTGATTTGAAAGCTTAGAAAGGGAAATGTCTAGAGAAAGAGAACTGAGTGATAGATTGGTATCATAGGAGAGAGATTAAGATATCTCAACTGTGTCATAAAAAAGAATAAAAAAGAGTACTTATTTCTACATAAAGTTTAATTAGTGATTGAGTGTTGGATCTTATTGCTAAAATGTGCTTATTTGTGTTTGCTTTATACTTAGATCTTACTCTGGAATTAAAGGATTTCAGTTAAAAGTTAATCTCCAGCCCAATGATAACTACTTTTTCTATGCAAAAGCTGTCAATGCTTTTGGGACAAGTGAGCAGAGTGAAGCTGCCCTCATTTCCACCAGAGGTAAAGTATCCTTTTCCGAAATTAACTAACTTTTCTTTTATTGTTGTTGTTTTATTTAAATTGATTTCCCCAAGAATTCCCATTTTCCCACGTAGCTCTCTTGATTTACCATTAGAGGGCATTATGGGCTCCTATCTACAAATGCACTCTTCCTTCTTCCCCAACCTGCCATCCAAGGAAAATTTCTGCTGTCAAAGGGAGAATGGAGCTCACCAGTAGCAATCTGGATTGTGCTGGTGGCTGATACTTGAAATAGCATTATGGTGGAAAGAGCATTAGTTTAGAGGTTTAGTTCCTGCTTTGTCACTAACGAGCTATGTGACCTTGAGATGCTCACTTCACCTATAATCATTAAGAATCACTTCTTTGGATTGGATCACTTCTTTAGGATTTGCATTTTTAGAGATTGCTCAGGAATGTTGACACATGAAGTCAATGGTTCACATTAAGCCAGACCACTTAAATGCTATTGATACTCTTGATGTACATTTTTTCTCTAAATACCAATGCATTGCCAGACTTCTAAAGCAACAACATCACATCCATATTAACATTTTCATCATAAAAGAAATAATAAGACATAAAAACATGTCAGATAAACAGATGAACAGTTCACAGGTTCTCTTTGGGGAAGTGAAGATAAAAGTTGGTGGAATTAGGTTTTTTTTGTTTAGTGTTTTGTTTTCTCCCAATTACATGTAAAAACAATTTTAGCATTCGTTTTTAAAACTTTGAGTTCCAAATTCTCTCCCTTCTTCCTTCTCCACCCCCCTTTGAAAAGGCAAAGAATTTGATATAAGGTATACATGTGCAGTCATGCAAAACATTTCCATATTAGTCATGTTGTAAAAGAAAATATAAACCAAAAAAAAAACCTCAAGAAAAATAAAGTAAAAAAATATGCTTCCGTCTGTATTCAGATGCATTTTTTTCTCTGGGGATGGATTGCATTTTTCATTGTAAGTCCTTCAGAGTTGTCTCGGATCATTGTAGTACTGAGAATAGCTAAGAAATTCACAGCTGATCATCACACAATATTGCTGTGGTGTTGTACACCATACATTTCACTTCGTATAAGCTCATGTAAGTTTTTCCAGGTTTTTCTGAGAGCATCATGCTCATCATTTCTTATAGCACAATAGTATTCCATCACAACCATGTACTACAACTTGTTCAGCCATTCCTCAATTGATCAGCATCCCCTCAATTTCCAATTCTTTGCCACCAAAAAAAGAGATGGTATAAATATTTTTGTATACACAGGTCCTTTCTCTTTCTGTTCTTTTTATAAATCTCTTTTTGGATACAGACCTTGTGGTGGCATTGCTAGGTCAAATAGTATGCAAGGTTTTAAAGCCCTCTGGGCATAGTTCCAAATTGCTCTGCAGAATGGTTGGATCAGTTCACAACTCTACCAACAGTGCATTAATGTCTCATTTTCCCCACATCCCCTCCAGCATTTCTCATTTTCCTTTTCTGTCCTATTAACCAATCTAATAGGTATGAGGTACTACCTCAGAATTGTTTGATTTTGCATTTCTCTAATCAATAGTTAGTCAGAGTACTTTTTCATATGGCTGTGGATAGCTCTGATTACTTCATCGGAAAACTTCATATCTTTTGATCATTTATCAATTGGGGAATGGCTCTTATTTTTATAAATTTGACTCAGTTCTCTATATGTTTGAGAAATGAGGCTTTTATTTGAGAAACTTGCTTCAAATTTTTTTTCTGTTACTATTGCTAACTGTATTTCCCTCCATCCTATACCTCCCATCTATTCTATTCTCTCTCTCCTTTTACCCTGTCCCTCATAAAAAGCAGAATAAAAGACACCATAAAATTTCTATATGATCAGAAAGGCTTCAAGAAGTCTCTCTCAGTCCTTAATCTTAGAACTTTTCCACTGAGATTATGCCGAATTCATTCTGCATGTATTGTGTTTGTACATAGCTATTTGCATTTTGTCTCTCTCATTAGACTGAGCTCCTTGAAAGCAAGGATTGTTTTTTGCCTTTCTTTGTATTTCCATTGCTTACCACAGTCCCTAGAATATGATAGGCACTTAATAAATGCTTATTGACTGAAAGAAGGAGGTAGGGTCAGGAAAGAAGAAAGGATAAGAAAGACAAAACCTCCAGAGAGTAGTTTCTAGCTCAAAGGGAAGATTCTCTGTAAAGAATTCATGGGAAAACTTGTATAAAAATCAAATAGAATGAGGAAACATGGAAGAGTTGTTATCTGCATGACAGAGAGAGTTCCCACACTTGATGAAACCACATGTCATAGGTAGCATCTAAGTTAGTGAACTGCTTATATTTGTAGCAGTTGCCATATAATGGAACTTGGGTGGGGATCAAGATAGGCCTAGCTTCTGGCCTCTTCTGGCAACATGCAGTCAGTGGAAGTGACCAGTTCCCAGCTCTATCATATCCCTGTGCATACTCTATGACATGACCATTGTTACATATGGATTGTCTTACTTGGATTTGATCAAATCACATTCTTAGAATTAGATTGCCTTACTATATTTTCTAGAATGTCTGGTATATCTGCAACTAGTGGGATATCCTCTAGATCAATCATAGCAATATTGCCAAGTCATGGTCAGTACCAAAATCAGGTCATTAGAAATTGTGATTTACAAAGAGGGGTATTCAGCTCCTTAATGAAACTCACATCATCATAGTAACTGGAGCTGTCCAATGTATGGGTAGCTTTTTTCACCCTAGAAATTTACTCTTTGGGGGCAGGTAGGAGGCACAGTGGATAAAGCACCGGCCCTGAAGTCAGGAGGACCTGAGTTCAAATCTGGCCTCAGACCAAACACTTGACACTTACTAGCTATGTGACCCTGGGCAAGTCACTTATCCCCAATTGCCTTAAAAAAAATCAGCAAAAAAAAAATCTGAAATTTGCTCTTCCCACTGCCCAATCAGTCACACCTGGAAGTGCTCTTTAGAAGCTGTATATCTCAATGTCTTCTTTCAGAGGAAGTTTTACTTATCCAGTTGATGGTTGTAGGGTCAAAGTGATCCAAATCTTTCCTAGCTGTGATAGTGTTTGTAATCCTCTTTTCTTAATATGCAACAGGAACCAGATTTCTCCTGTTGAGAGAGACTGCTCACCCTGCACTACAGATCTCTTCAGATGGGACAGTAATCCGCCTTACTGAGAGGAGGCGACTCACCGCGTAAGTAGAATCCTAAGCAGGGAAAGTTCTGATGCCTCAGCTGTGGGACATCTATTGCATGTGTCAACCCAGCACCGATTTTATGTTTATCTAAAGTGTCTGTGTGGGAAATAAATCACAGATACACACACATGCACAATACAGAAATATTTATACACACATTTAAATCAGCCAATAAATAAAAAACCATTTATTAATCACTTACTTTCTGCCAGACATTGTTCTAATTGCTGGAATAGAGTGAAACAGTCCCTGCCTTTAAGCTTACATCATAATGGGGGGAGACAACTTGAACATATGTAAGGACATGGATAATATATACAAAATGGATATATAACATACTTTGGGTCTGATAGATAGATAATGTTTATCTGGAAATATCAACAAATATAAACATAAGTCTATCTATGTATATAGCTATATTAAGTAGACCCAAACTATTTTGTATTCATTTTACATATTTATATGTGTAAAATGAATACGATGTAGTTTGAGTCTATATTATATAGATTTTTACAGAAAGAGTTATAAATTTATAACCCAGAAAGAAGTCTAAAATAAAAAGTATATATTTTTTTCATTTTCTTTATTTTTCTTGCCTCTTTTTTTTTGCAACATAGCTAATATGCAAATATATTTTGCCTGATTTCATATCTGTAATTGATATCATGTTGCTTGCCTTCTCAATAAAGGGGAATGAGAGAGAATTTGGAACTCAATTTTTAAAAAATGTTTTAAATAAATAATGAAATGCAAAGTCTAAAATAAAACTTTCTGTACTTTTCTTTAAATAAAGACAATGAAAGTTTCCCTCTAGTTTTAAAGTATATATTATCTCTGTAAAAGTGAATAAAAAGTAGTTTGGGGTCTATATAAATAATATATTATTACATAGATAATTTCTATAGGGATTTATATAGATTTTATAATCTATGTATATGTCTATATAAAGCAATCCCAACCATCTTGTATTAATTTTAGATAGATGATAGATAGATAGATAAAAATATGTGTGTATAAAATGAATTGCATGAATGTATATATAGATAATGAATGTGGATGTGATTAACATATAGATAATGGATAATAGATAACATATAGATAATAGATTAACATAGATATGCAATGGTTGTAAATAGATGGATAGATAAATATCACATAAAATTACTAGGTAGTTTGAGTATATATTGTATACAATATATAAAAATTTATATAGATTATATAATCTATATATATGTGTGCATATATAAAACATAGACCCAAACTACCTTCTATTAATTGTATGTGTATGTGTTATCTATAGATACAATGACACAACTACTTCTTTGTATTCATTTTGCATATATAGATACATTATCTATATATGGGCCTATTTTATATAGCTATATCTATATAAATCTCTCTCACATATACATAAACACAAGTACAAACAAACACAAAATGAATATGATAGATTGGGTATATTATATAAAGAAACACCGAGATAGAAGTGTGCTTATCTACATATGTTATATATGTGTATGTATGTTTATGAAACACATACATATGCACTATATGTATACATACATACATATAATTACACACACACACACACACACAAACCTTCCACTTCAAAATTAGAGGAAGAGTTTCATTGTCTTTATTGAAAGAAAAAGTACAGAGGGTTTTTTTTTATTTAAGACTTCTTTCTGAATTACATGCTCAACTAAAAAGAGTCCATGTTGGCTCTGTTTTCACCTTCTTTAACAAAAGTATTTTTTTCTTTTAATCAACCCACTTGAGAATGAGTGGGGAAAAAATGACCCCCATGGGCAGATTAAAATCATTTTGAGAACCTGACCCAAGTTGCTCTGTCCCACAGTGAACTTCAAAGTTAGAAATCCACAAAAGGAAGACTGTGAGGAATGAGGGGAAAAAATTGTCATGTAATATATGTTCTCCTACTGCACAGGGTTACTGTGAGAATCAAATGAGATAATGAATTTGAAAACTGTGAAGCACTGAGGTGTAAAATATTGCTATTGTCATGATCAAATCCACACATTTACTGGGAACAGGTTATTATTGTGGAACATTCTAATAGTGCTTCAATTATCACTAGTGGCAATATTTTATAGTAACTTAGCACAAGAAGATAGCCTATTTGCTAAAATTTTGTAAGACAGATTTCTTTAAGAAATAGAGAAGGTGAGGAATAATTCAGGCGTACTCCATTGTTTGTAGTAGCATCATTCACAGCTCTAACCAAACCTTACTGTAAATTGTAAAACCTGCTATCATGTCATTTGGTCAATCTCTCATCTATATCATTGTTCCTATAGAACTGATGACCCCTTGTAACATTTTTTCATCTAACCTTATAATTGTGGGGGTTTTATTTGCCTTGAGAATCAATTAATGATATTAGGCAGAGTATGCCCAAGAATAAAATATCAGAAAAGATGATGCAGTTGTTGGCTTAGGAATTAACTTAGGGTAATCAAGTAGCTGGGGATTTCCAGATAATGTTTTGGTCATGGCCATTTCCCTCCAGTAGTGCTACAAAGTAGGGAGACAAGATTTAGAAAATTCCAATTGCATTCATCAGTTTCTCACATGATAAATTTGAAAAGGAAGAGAGTGCTGCATAAACATTAACATCACTGAAAGTAGAGAACCTTCCTTGTTGCCTTAACTATTTTAAGAAGAAACTGAATGAGTCATCCATAGTCACTAATAAAGAAGAAAGAAGTATCAGAGTTTGCTTCATACCAACCTTCCTATCATAGGAGTAACTAAAATGTGGCAATAGGAACTCTTCATCTAGCAACATGGAAGATCAGTGCATTTATCACTCAAATGCTCTAATGGTGTTCCTAAGAATCCAGAGAGTCAACCAAAACTCTTCTGAAAACCAGACTAAATAATAGAATAAAGAAAACCAGTTTTATTGTTATTCACACTCTACCTAATTATGAATACATAAAGCATATTGATACTTGACATTAAATTATGTGCCCACATGTGGGTTTGGAGACAGTGGAACACATTATTAAGGAGGGCTATGCGATCTCCTTCTTTGGAGGAACCATCTGCTTCCTGGAAGGTACACTGGATGACTTCTACCACTATGATTCTGAAAGAAAAATTACTTTGGATTTATGTTCCTGAATTTTTTTTTTTGCTGTTTAAAATAGAAATTTTCTCATTGCTCTTCATATTTTTCTTTTTTTTTCTTTTTTAAAAAATTTTATTAATTTATTTTGAATTATCAACAATCACTTCCATATGCTTTTGAGTTGAAAATTTTTCTCCCCCTTCCTCCCCCCCACCCTCCCCAAGATGGCGCACAATCTGATATAGGCTTTATATTTACATACCCATTAAACATATTTTCACATTAGTGAAGTTGTAAGTAAAAATTAAAACCAATAGGCGGAACCATCAGAAAGATGAAACAAAACTCAACAGAAGGTAAAAATAAGTGATAGCGATTTGATTTCCATGGTTCTTTCTTTGGATGTGGACAGTATTTTCCATCCTGAGGCCTCTGGAGATGTCTTAGATCCTTGTAATGCTGAGAAGGGTTCAGTTTAACATTCTTAGTCATTGCATAACGTGGCTGTTATTGCGTACAAAGTCCTCTTGGATCTGCTCACTTCACTCAGCATCAGACCATATAAGTCTTTCCAGGTTTTTCTGAAGTCAGCCTGTTCATCATTTCTTATAGCACAATAGTATTCCATTACATTCATATGCTATAACTTGTTCAGCCATTCCCCAGTTGATCATATAGTAGGTTCTTAACAAAAGCTTCTTTCCTTTGGTTTTCAATATTTCTAATTTGGTGTTTAGTTGAGGATTTTTAATTTGTTCTTTTTCTAGTTTTTTTAGTTGTATGCCCAATTCATTAATCTCCTCTTTTTCTATTTTATTTATGTAAGCATTTAGAGATATAAAACTTCCCCTAAGAACTGCTTTTGCTGCATCCCATAGGTTTTGGTATGTTGTCTCATTATTGTCATTCTCTTGAATGAAATTATTGATTGTTTCTATGATTTGTTGTTTGACCCAATCATTTTTTAGGATTAGATTATTTAGTTTCCAATTATTTTTTTAGTCTATCTTTCCATGGCCCTTTATTACGTATAATTTTTATTGCATCATGATCTGAAAAGGATGCATTTAATATTTCTGCCTTTCTGCATTGGATAGTGAGGTTTTTATGCCCTAGTACATGGTCAATTTTTGTGTATGTGCCATGTACTGACGAGAAAGAAGTATATTCCTTTCTATCCCCATTCAGTTTTCTCCAGAGGTCTATCATACCTAACTTTTCTAATGTTCTATTCACCTCCTTAACTTCTTTCTTGTTTATTTTGTGGTTAGACTTATCTAGTGCTCTTCATATTTTTCTTATATTGGATTTAACTCAATTCAGTTAATATTAATTAAGTGCCTATTATGTTTTGAAAATATATTCTAGCTCTTCTATCACCAATGAAGGTGAAATATGGTAAATGTACAAGAATGGAAAGTGTATTTATAGAACAAGTATTGAGGATTTCAGAAAAACCCTGGAGCTTGGTCAAACAAATTCGAAAGTACAGGGATGCAAGAAATGTTTTAGCTAATTTCTGGTAAATTCTGAGAAAAATTTGCCACCCAGAGTAGACGATTACAAATGTGAACATTTGTGAAATAAACATACTGTAATCATTATGCTCAGTGGTTATTTTAATTTTATGCATGTTACCTGCAGAACTCCATCTGTCCTGGGTGAGCAACTGCCTGCCTGTGGCCAGCACTACTGGGAAACCACAGTAACAGACTGTCCAGCGTATCGTCTTGGAATCTGCTCCAGTTCTAATACACAGAGTGTTGCCCTGGGACAGGGTGATGCTTCCTGGTACATGCACTGTTCTGAGCCACAGAGGTAAATTTAACTTGATATATCTATAAGACAAGGTGTGTTTATTATTATGTATGGCACTTTAAGAGAGTGTGCACTGTCTTAAAGTGTGGGTGTTGGTTGGTTGGTGTTTAAAGCTTATTAACCTTTGCTGGTCTTGGAGTAATACTCCAAGTTAGAACACTTTCGGTATTGTCTTAAATGAATGAATGAAAGAATGAAAAGCATTCACTGTGTGCCAAGCACTGCAATAAGTTTTGGGGATCCAAATACAAAAATCCCTGCTCTCAAGAAGTTTACATTCTAATGAGGGACCTAAGCATTGATAGAAGACTAGTGTCCGGGAAAGGGAATTATGGTCTGGGAAATCACAAAGAAGTGAGTAGAATAATGGAGCAGAGATTTGATTACAGTTCTCCTGGAAAGAGGTGAAAAGAGTTTAAGGCAGGGCATACATTAGGGGAAGAGAGGGAGTGCAGAAAATGACCAAGGTTATCAGCTTCTGTCAATGTGGGGACTAAATGATGAGGAAACTCCCTGCATTAATATAGACTGCAACCTAGAGGATAACTCTTAGAGAATCAGATAGAGGCAGCTAGGTAGCACGGTCAATAGAGCAATGGGCCTAGAGTCAAGAAGACCTAAGTTCAAATCCAGCCTCAGACATTTATTAGCTATGTGACCCTGAGCATATCAATTAACCTCTGTCTGCCCTCAGTTTCTTCATCTGTTAAATGGGAATAGTAATAGCATCTAATTCTCAGGGTAGTTATGAAGATCAAATGAGAAAACACATGGAAAATGCCTTGCAAACCTTAAAGTGCTATATAAATTATAGCTTTATTATTACAAGAAAAGGAACACATATAGTTAGAAGGACTGGTAAAGACTTTGTGCAAAAGATGATTATTGAGGAAAGAAACTAAGTCTTAGAGGAAATATTAAAATCCTTACTATCTTTCAAGGCCCATTTCAAGTCCCATCTCCTTCATAAATTTTCTCCAACAACTCTTTTGTTATTGTTGTTGTTCAGTTGTGTCTAACTCTTCATGACCCCATGGGCCACAGCAAGCCAGGCCCTTCTGTCCTCTACCATTTTCTTGAATTCTATCCAAGTTCTTGGTCATTGTTTCCATGACACTATCTATCCATCTCATCCTCTGCTGTCCCCTTTTCCCTTCGCCTTCAATCATTCCCAGCATTAGGGTCTTTTCCAATAAGTCCCGTCTTCTCTTTATGTGGCCAAAATATTTAAGTTTAAGCTCAGTATTTGACCTTCCAGTGAATCGTCTGGATTAATTTCTTTAAATATTGTCTGATTTGATTTCCTTGATGTCCAACGGACTCTCAGAAGTCTTCTCCAGCACCACAATTTGAAAGCATTGATTCGGAGGTGCTCAACTTTCCTAATACTCCAGTTCTCACAGCCATACATTGCTACTGAAAAAAAACCAATTATTCCTTTGACTACACAGACCTTTGTCAGCGAGATGATGACTCTGCTTTTTAGTGTGCTGTCCTGATTTGCCATAGCTTTCCTTCCAAGGAGTGTCTTTAATTTAATGGCTTCAGTCACCATCTGCAGTGATCTTTGAGCCCAGGAATATAAAATCTGACTCTGCTTCCATTTCTTCTCCCTCTATTTGCCAGGAAGTGATGGGACCACTTGCCAAGAACTCTAATCTGCAACAATTTTTCTCCTTGCTACTATTCATAACAAATTATATGTATCACACATTTAGGTACTTGATTGTGGGCTGCAGTCCAGAAGCTCAGGGGGTTCTCTTGAGTACGACTATTATATTCTGTCATGTATTGTCCTCTAATTGTTTTATGCAGGTAAGTCTTGTTTCCCCTATTAAATTCTAAGTTCTTTGTGGGACAGGAGTACTGTCAAATTCTTTTGTACTCTCTTTCTCCTACACTTGCCCAGCACAGTGCTAGATAGCCATTCAGTCAATAAACATTTAGTAAGCACCTGTATGTACAAGGCACTGTGCTAGGAGCTGGGGATACAAAAAAGAAGCAAAAGACAGTCCCTGCCCTCAAGGAGCTTACAGTCTAATGAGGGAGATAACATGCAAACAAATACATTCAAATAAGCTATATGTAAGATAATTATGAAATAATGAAGACGAGGAAAGTACTAAAATTAAGAGGGGTTGAGAAAGGCTTCCTGGAGAAGATGAAATTTTAGTTGATATTTAAAGGAAGCCAGGGAAGCCAGTTTGGCTGAGATGAGGAGGGAGAGCATTCGAGGCATGGGAGACAGCCAGGGAAAATTCCTGGAGCCAAGAGATGGAGTGTCTTGTTCAGAACAGAAAGGAAGCCAGAGTCGTTGGATCAAAGAGTATGTGGTGGTGAATGAGGTGTAAGAACACTAGATGGTGAGGCTAGGTTAATCCCAGAGGATTTTGTGTTTGATCCTAGAGGTGATAGGGAGCCATTGGGATTCATTGCGTACAAGGGTAACATGGCCGGACCTATGCTTTAGGAAAATTACTGGCAGATGGATTGAAACGGGGAAAGACTTGAGGCAGGCAGACTCACCAGCAGACTATTACAATAGTCCAAGTTTGAGGCAATGAGATCCTGCACCAGGGTGGTGGCAGTGTCATAGAAGAGACATACTTGAGAGATGTTGCAAGATGACATTGACAGACCTTAGCAACAGATTGGATAAGGGGGAGAGGGGCTTGAGAGATAGTGTGGAATTGAGGATGGCACCAAAGTTGCAAATCTGTGGGACTGGGAAGATGGTGTTGCCCTTGATAGTAATAGGAAAGTTGAGGACCTGGGGGTGGGGGGAGGTAAGGGAAATGATAATGAGTTCAGTTTTGGACATGTTGAGTTTAAGATGTCTACTGGACATCCAGTCCAAGATATCTGAAAGGCAATTGAAGATATGAGATTGAAAATCAGTAGAAAGCTTAGGGTAGGACAGGCAGAAATGAGAATTATCAGCATAGAGTTAGTAAATAAATCTATGGGAACTGATGAAATCACCAAGTGAAATAATGTAGAGGGAGAAGAGAACCCAGAACAGGACCTGTGGGACTCCTATAATAAAAGGGCACGACCTAGATGAGGATCCAGCAAAGGAGAATGAGAAGGAGCAGTCTGGTAGGAGAAATTGGGGAGAGTGGTGTTACAAAAACCTAAAAAGAAGAGAATATCAAGAAGAAGATGGTGAATAACTGTGTCAGAGTTTACAGAGAAGTCAAGAATAATGAGGATTGAGAAGAGGCCACTGGATTGGGCAATTAAGAGATAATTGGTAACTTTGGAAAGAACAGTTTCAGTGGAATGATGAGGTCAGAAGACGGATTTTAAGGGATAACAAAGAATGAGAGGAGAGAAAGTGGGTCTTTTCATGGAGTTTAGCCACAAAAGGCAGGGGAGATATAGGACTATGGTTAGAAGGGATAGAAGGATCAAGTGAAGGTTTCTTGAAGATGAGGGAGACATGGGCATGTTTGTAGGCAGAAGCTATTAGAAAGGGACAGACTGAGGATAGGTGGTAGAATGAAGGTGAATGAGGGGATAATCTCTTGGAGGAGATGAGATGGAAAGAGGTTACCTGAACAAGTAGAGGGGTTAGCCTCAATAAGGAATAAGGCCACTTTATCCTATGAAACAGGGGTAGAAGATAGTGGCAGAAGGCATCTCAGTGATATGAGATGAGTAAGAGGAGAGAAGAAGAAGGTCATGGCAGATGGTCTCATTTTTCCCTTTAAAATATAAGGCAAGGCTCTTACCTGAGGATATGGGGGGAGGGAGAGATTTGAAGAGGAATGAAGCAGTCTGGAGGAGCTACTCTGGAGAATGAGATAGTGAATTGATAAGGGAAGCGTAAAAGGGTTGTGTGGTAGCAATGAGGGACCAGTTTAGTGTAACATAAATTTGTAGTGGATTCAGGCAGAATAGTATGGTACATGTGTATAGGAGTGAAGGCTGTGAATGATGGGAGTCATCCAAGGCTGAAGCTTGATGCAGTGTAATCAGTGATATGATAAAGGGACCAGAGACTTGAGAAGAGGACAGTGTAGAGTTGAATTGGTTCTCAAGGGATCGAGATGGGGAAAAGGGGAGAAAATGGCTTGTGCTAGGGAGATGGAGAAATCTGAGGGGTTGACGGATTGGAAGTCACAGTGTGAATGAAGAGTAGAGTTTGGTAAGGGAAAGCAGAGGTAGAGGTAGAAAGGAAGAAATTGTGGTCAGATAAAAGGGTTTCAGAATTCTTGAACCTGGAGTCAGTGCATTTGTGGGTGACGGCAAGATAAAAAACATGACCATCTTTGTGTGTGGCTGAAGTGGGGTGGAGGAGTAGGTCATGGGAAATGAGTAGGTTGAGGAGCTGAGTGGTTAGGGCATTTGAGAAAGAGTCAATATGTAAGTTGAAATCCTTTGATATAAGAGAAGGAGTTGAGGAGAGGAAAATTGTGAGCCAGGTACTGAACTCATTAAGGAAGGTAGGGGAGTGATGTGGAGATCTGTAGATAACAGCTACCATGATTTTGACTAGATGGTAGATATGAATTGCATGAACCTCAAAGAAGGAGAGTAGAGAGTTGCATAGAAGGTTCTCAACAAACAATTATTTAATTGAATAGATTTGAACCTGGGAGGAATTAAAGATAACACTAACATTTAGTAACTGATTGCTTTGGTGTTGTAGGAAGATCTTGGAGTCAGAAGATCTGGATTCTATCTCTGTTACTTTTATTTGTTTTATGTTGGGAAAATCTCGACCTCTGTTGGCTTCAGTTTCTTTGTCTGTAAAAAGAAGGAGTTGACTAAATTTCTCAGGTCCTCCCAACTTTAAAGCCCATAAAGCCAGCTATAGCTATGTCCTACTAGTATGAATAATCCCATTATTCTGGTAGCATTATTCGAATTCACACTATTCAAAATATAATTATACGTAAAATCTGTTAACTGGTTCCAACCCAATGGAAATATGCAATGAAAATGTCTGAATAAAAATTTGAATGCTGGACTACTTCATAGGCTTCATTATTCAAATTAATGGGGATCTAACTATGTCTAAAAAAAATAATGTTGTCATTGATAGGAAGTTGTGAAATAGGACCAGTTGACAAGGGAAATAATTGAGGATTAGCCAGGCTCACTAAACTGTAGTGTTGGAAAGAGGAAATATACAATGGAGCTGGAAAGATTGTTCCAAGCTATGTTGTTAAGGCTTTAAAAACCAAATAGAAGAATTTACATTTTATCCCGAAGGCAATAGGGAGCCACTGGATTTTAGTGACCAGAAAGCTGGCATGAAAAAGGATCATAGATTTCTGTGTAGAAGAGACTTAAAGACCACGGAATCCAACCTCCTCATTTAACAGATGGAGAAACTTAGGCAGAGAGAGGTTGACTTGCCCAGGGTCACATGACTCGTAGGTATCTGAGGGATGATAGGAACTTAGGTTCCAAGTCCATCTTTCTCCTCACTGTACCACCTTGCTGCCTCAGAAATCAGCTAGTCTTACCCTCTCATTTTATGAAATGAGCAAAATGGAGACTAGATAGTTGAAATGACTGGTCCAAGGTCATATAGAGAGTAAATGGCTAAGCTGGAATTTGAACCCAGGTCCTTTGACTCCAAATCCAACATTCTTTCTACTACCCTGCCCTTTCTCTCTAAAGAATGAAGAATGAAGCTGAGCAAAATTATTCACTTTTTCTTCAACAAACTTGAACAGAGGTCCTTATGTAAATTATGAAACTGTAAAATTAATGCATTCCAGGGGAAGCAAGATGGCAGAACATTTTTTTGATACATAGAAGCCTCCAAGGAACTTTTATTCAGAAGAATGACAATCAATGAATGCAGCAGCTGAAAGTGTAGGCAGTTGGAAAAGAATGAGAATGTTGAAAAAAAGTCAAAAGGTTGCAGGGGGTCATGTTGATTATTCTGAGGTGGCCTTTTTACAACAGGATGGAAAGAAATATTCAAAATCCTAGTCATTTGGGTTCATGTTACATTTATACTTGAATCCCCAGGAAGGGTCCAGTTAAATGCCTGGCATGGCATTATGTGCTGGGCCATCCTTTGTATTCTGGTTAATAGCTGGTAAGTTAATCATGGTACATTATTTTCATAGCTCAGATTCATTTTAATTTTTATGCTCTCTATTCTGTTTCATTTCAGGTATACATTTTTCAGCAATGGCACGGTGAGCAACGTCCACGTGACTGAGCATCCAGTCAGAGTGGGCATTCTTCTGGACTACAGCAACCAGAGACTTTTATTCATAAATGCTGAGAGTGGGCAGCTGCTTTTTACCATCAGGCACAGATTCACTGGGCCCATTCACCCTGCCTTTGCCCTGGAGAAGCCTGGGCAATTCACCCTGCACCTGGGAAAAGAGCCGCCAGATTTTTTGAGGCATAAATAATGATTTGCTTTCAAAGTAGTGTTATTTGGAAGAGAAAGAATTCACATTTAAGGGATCTGTTCTCCTTCCCATAAGCCCTCAGCACATGTGCCCACACTCATACCCATAACTACTAATAACATCATTACACATGATAATAATAACAGCACACGCAGGACAATATTACCTTTCATTTGTGTGGCCTTGTGTGAGAAGAAAGGTTGAACAACCCCTACCCATTGAGTTATACATTGTGATGTATACTCAAAAGAAATATCTAAAGGAAAAGATTGGGTTAGACCTGTGGGTCGAAATGGAGAGAGCTACGTTCATACAAAGGAATTCTCTCTTCATTATTAAAGAAATAATTACCATGATGGACAGTGAGGGAGAAGGAAAGAGGGAATGATGATCTACCACATGAATGAGTTGCTTCTCCCACTAAAGGAACATTTGATTCTTTCCACAGGAAAATAAAACAAAACAAATCCTATGACATTTCACCATGAGACAATGAGTCCTAGTCACGGAATAATATCTCTCACTCTGAAAATGTTATCTGTTGTAAAGGTTATAATGAACTATTGTATAATATTGTATACTCTTGTACACGAGCCCCTTTTCTCTCAGAATCAAAATGTAGACACTGCTAAACTTTAGGAATCTGCTTTCTATAAATAAATGGGTAGAAAATATAAAATTAAAATGGTGGCCATGAAGACTTTACTATACAGAAAAGATCATAGATCAACTTATCTATATATCCTATATATCAACTTATCTTCTCAGGAACACCTGAGAAAAGCTGATGGACATTGTATTTCTATGGGCTGAGTTTTCATTAATTTTTTTAAATGTGAAAATGATACCACAAATTTTTCCAAAAAATAATTGTATCAGCTCATAGACAATACCAGTGATGAGAAAAAGAGGGAGTATATATGTTTATTTAGGATATTGCTTCTCATCAGATATAGTTTTTAAGAGCGTGTTTTATTGATACCTTTTGTCATTACCTCACAGTCATTTATGAAAATGATGACAAAAACAACCCTTTCCAGACCTCCCATACTGAATTCCTTCTCCATGTAACAAAGAAAAAACAACCAACAACCCCCCCACCCCCCACCCCCACACATCTGGTTCAATGACTACATCTGAAAATGTATTCACCCTTCTGCTCCCTGGGGTATGCTGGAGCCAAATCAATCTGGCTCAAGAGAGCTGATTATTGAATTTTGAGTGTGAGCATTTGCACCTGGGAAATTGGCTAACACTAAAATCAGAGCTCGATTTATTGTTTTGGGTAATGTCTAGACTTAAGGAAGTTATGGAGAAATATTAACAATGCAGATTAAACTTAAAAGTATGTCCTGTGTACATTTTTTTGGGGGGAAAGCCAGTTGTTAAACATTTATTGGCGCACCCCTCATAGTCCTCTCCAGATATAATATTGAAACACTCTCAAAACCTTACTGAAAAATAGGCTTACAAATCTTGACATGCCTTTCAGGATAATGTTGCTCTCATGTATTTTTGGAAGCATAAATACTTAGATCCTATTTTCTGAGTCTCTCAGTTAGAAGGGGATCTCAGAGCTCCTCTGGTCCAACCTGTATGTGAACAAGAATCCCTTTGACAGCATCCCCAACAAGGAATCCTCCAGCTTAATCTGATGATTTCTTGAGAAGGAGACACCACCGCCTCCTTAGATACACCAATCCACAATTGGCTGCTCTAATTATCAGGATTTTTCTCCTATCAAACTTATATCTGTCTTGGTCATTTCTACCCACTATTTCTCGTTCTTCCTTTTGGGATCAAGCAGAACAAATTTAATCTTTCTTCCAAATGGAAACCCCTTCCAGTTCTTGATTACACTCATCTTGGCCCCCTTGTCTTCTGTTTTTCAGATTAAGCATACCCAGTTTCTCCAATAGATGATCATGGTATGGTCTCCTGTCCCCTTATCATCCTGATCACTTTCCTCTGGATTAGCTCCAGCTTGTCAATATCTCACCTAAGATGTGACACCCAAATAGGGGAGAGAAACTGTGACTTAATTATATAGGGAACTTCTGGAAAAGAAAAGAAACCTCTCTTTGCCAATTCAGGTCTGAAAATTCTCTGCAATATATAGTGTTTGAAAAAATACACACACACACACACACACACACACACACTCATATACACATATATATGTATATACATACATATATAGTGTTTGACAGTTGCCTAGGACTCTGAGAGGTTAAGCATCTTGTCCAAGGTCACAGGGTCAGTACATGTCTGGGGGAGGATTTGAACCCAGATATTCCTGGCTCTGAAACCAGCTCTCTATTATTATACCATGCTGCCTCTCACCATAATGCCCAGAACTCAACATAATACTCCAGATATAGTCTGACCAAGACCGAGTACAGCAGAAGTATTAGCTCCCCTCTTACCACACAACTCTTAGGAAGTATAAGATGGTGGGTTTTCTGGTAGGAAGGAGATAATGTTGAGCTTACACTGCACTGAAATGACCCAAAATTTCCCCCCATATATCTGTCTTCTAGACCCATTTCTCTGCTTTTGTATTTCTCAAGTTGATTTTTTTTTAACTTTTTATTTATCCCTATTAAATTTTACCTGCCTGGATTTGGCCCATTATTATGGCTTGTCTACACCTTCTTTAGATCCCAGCTGTTATCCCACATGTAAGTCAGGCCTCCCAGTTTTATATCATTTGCAAATTTGATAAACCTGCACTCTGGGCTTCGATGCAAGTCACTGATGCAACTGTTAAGCAGCCCAGGGCCAAGCACAAATCCCTGGAATGCTTCACTAAAACATCTCTTCAAGACGATATCGACCCAGTGATGACCAATCTTTGCATCTGGTCATTTAATCAGTTCTGAATGCACTTAACTACATTATCATCTAGCTCATATCTTCCCATTTTATTCACAGGGATAGCAGGAGACATTATCAAATACTTGCCTGAACACAGGTAAATTTTACTATGGTATTTCCTGGTCTAGCAGTCTAGCAACTTGATAAAAGAAAAAAAAAAAGAAATGAGATTAAGCCAGTATGACCTGTTCTTGAATGAATGGATAAATGAAAAAGTATTTATGAAATGTTAACTGTGTGCCAAGCATTGTGCTAAGTGGTAGGGTTATGGGTATTAAAGGTCTGGCCTAATGAGTCAAGACATCTCATAATAATTGCAATGTGGTGAAAGAAAAAAGAAATTTCAGAATAGATTTTTTATTCTTCTCAAACAGTTCATAGGACAATTGATTTAGAACTGGAAGGGACCTTGGAAGCCATTTTATCATTTTTACATATGAGGAAAATGAGACTCGGAGATGTAAGGTGACTTGCCCAAGGTAGTCAATAAATGGCAGAGTGGATACTTAAAGCCAGGTCCAGCAAGGGGGCTCCATAGTGCACAGAGGGCCAGGCCTGAAGTCAGGCAGATTCATCTTCCTGAGTTCAAATAACACAGTCAACCATTCTCGAATGAAGAAGAGATGGGTGCTTCTTAAATAAAATATTTCTCATCTTTTCAAGGGAGACAACATGGTGCAGATGTGAAGTCAGGAGTTGCTATTCACTTGTTTCAGTCATGTCTGACTCTTCATGACTCCATTTGGGGTTTTCTTGGCAAAGATACTGGAGTGGTTTGCCATTTCCTTCTCCAACTCATTTTATGGATGAGGAAACTGAGGCAAACAAAGTTAAGTGACTTGACCAGGATCACACAGCTAGTAAGTGTCTGGGTCAGATCTGAACCAGCACCAGCTCCCACTCTGAGTAGATCAGGGGTTCCTTACTTATTTTTGTCATGGACCCTTTTGGTAGTCTGGTGAAGCCTAGGAACCCCTTCTAGAATCATGTTTTTAAATATACAGGATTACAAAGGAAACCAAGCATATTGAAATACAGCTATCAAAATATTGAAAAAACAAAGCAAAACCAAGTTCATAAATTCCAGGTTTTGGACTTGAGCAAATAGTTAACGTTTTGCTTTCAAAGGCCCAAGTTTCACAACTCACTTTTGTTTAATTTTTTTGTTTGTTTGACAGCTTATTAAATACACTTAATTGGTACTTTTTCTGCAATCTTTTAAATCACTTACACATGGATTAGCTTAAAATGTATTTCATAGAAAATATTGAAAAAATAAAATGAAAATGAGAAACTGCATATACATCTGGATAATCAGCTGAAATATGAACAGAATTCCTTTAATTTAATCTGTAGGTGTGCTAAATGAAGATACTTATGAAATCTCAATAGGTCCCGTTTGTCTCCTTTGATTGTCCATTAGAAACAAGGTGCTGTTTCCACATTCATCATGAATTTAAACCTGTTTTAAATATTCTACTGTGAAGACTGAAAGAGAGCATTTTTGAGCAGAAGCTCATTTACCCTTCCAGTGGGAGACCCCATTCTTTCCCATTCAGTTTTTATGCTAAGCACACTTTGGCCTTAAAATTGGAAATGGGCATCTGGGCTCCTCCAGTCTTGTCCCTTTTGTGGACTTAGAGGGAGTTGTGGGTGGAGGAGAGTGGGTGTTCAATGTCATTTTCCCTTAGAAATGTATTATGGACACCTTGGAAAACTGAAGTATAAGGGTGGGTTAGAACTCTGAGTAGCAGAGGTCCTGCAGTCTTCCCTAAAATGTGAAAAACCTACTCACAAGTGCCACTTTGATTTTTTTTTTCATCCTTGCTCCTGGTAAGCTTTGTAAGAATATTACAACAGGGCAGTATGTATTATACTGCTTAAGACATTTTTTTAAGAGTCCCGGATCATCCATGCCAATGTTTTTAGAAAGGTTTTTTTTCATCATAAAGTTTTATCTTTACATACTCCATGGCCCAGCATCCCAACTCTGTGGTTACACAGATCTGGTTCAATCTTAGGAGGCATTTTATACAAATGTCTCTATGGCTCATGATTCCTTATTGCTCTGCTCTCATTCTCCCTGTCTCCAAACCTGGGTTCACCAGCTTCTGGGAACATCCCATGTTGTCCTACTTTGGTCCCATCCAAGGTTATTTCCTGGGAATATCAAAATATAGCTCATGTCTAAGTCTTTGTTAAAAGACCAAAAAAGCTCTCACCTCTTATGCAAGTATTTAGGCTAATAAAACATTTTTAAGTTCACAGATCTAAAGTTAGAAGGGTCCTCAGAGGCCATTTGTCCAGCCTCCTTGTTTCACAGATGAAGAAACTAGGATCAGGGAGTTAGGTGATTTGCTCAAGGTCACATAGGTAGTAAGCATCAGAGATGAGTTATGAACACAAGTCTTTAGTATCAGTGTTTATTATTCTGTACAATGCTGCCAACCCTTACAAGACAGGCTTTATTCCACCCTACAGAAAACATAAAATACTTGCACCCAAGCCCATAAACAGTCACAATAACTTTCCATCCTTTTCCAATGAGTGTCACCTCCTCCCAAAGACCTATATATCCCTCAGGTCTTATAGTATTACCTTGTGGTTGAATCCTCCACCTCTTCACCCAACCCCCCAAAAGGCAAAGCACTTAAGTATTACTAACAGTTGACTCCACTCTTTCTGGTAAGTCCCATATCCTCAGGGGACCACGTCATCCTTTAAACTCATAGTATGACCCTGTGGTTGAGACCATTGTGAAAGCAGAGAGAATTCAGCATCATTAGTCAGCTTCTTTCTAAGCTACTGTACTAATGGAGGATAAAGGTCTGGGTTTGTTTCTCTAGATCAGGGATGGGGAGTCTGTGGCCCCAAGGCCACATATGTATACATATATACATTTATGCATGTGTATGTGTGAAGACAGCTAGACCTACACCTATAATTTCCTATGTTAGCACCTCACTGGGAGCTCCCTCCCAACACAGAGATTGGCACCTACTGCACAGTTTAAATAACTTACCCAGGGTCACATAAGCATTACATGTCAGAGGAGGAACTCAAATCCAGGACTTCTAAGCGTCCAAGAAAGCTCCCTAGCCACTATACCATTTTGCCTCTCAATACATATTATTGAACCTGTGATTCCATCAGTATAGGAAGCCTGATGAGGAACTTCTACCAAAGCAGATGGGCACCTTCCCTGAAAGTTCTGAACCCCACCCCATTACCCTGTATTTATTGGATATGCATTTTGTACAGTATAGTCCAGGGGTGGGGAACCTATGGTCTCGAGGCCTCACATCCTTCAGGAACCTCCAGGTCCTCATCTGTGCCCCCTTGTGGCCTCAAGGCCACATGTTGCCTCCAGGCTCCAAGTTCTTCACCCCTGCACTAGATCATGCCTTAGTTTTGGCTCCATCTTGGTCCAAAAATTGACTTGTACAGGAACTTCTCTCCTCTCCTCTTCCCTT